TAGTTTTTTTGAGACAGGAACTTGCTATATAGTTCAGGATATCCTCAAACTTGAGGTGACCCTCCTGTCTCAGCTTCCTGAGTGCGAGGACTACAGATGTGCATTCTTCTCTGGTTCTGAAGTTCCTTTTACTGGGAAATAATCTGGACAGTAGGAAACATGTGCTCCATGTCTGCATGTTCATTTCAGGAGGCCAGGGTAGAGCTGTTTTCTTCATTGTCCCTCCCCTCCCCCTCCTCTCATCTCCCCTTCCCTCTCCTCCCCTCTCCTCTCCTTAATTCCCTCCTCCTTCCCTGTGTGTGTGTGTGTGCGCGCATGTGCATGCATACTTGATTGTCTGCTCATGAGTGTGCATGAGTCTGTGGTGTGTTTGCCAGAAGTCAACTCACATATCTTCCTGTATATTCTCCATCTTATTTTTTGAGACAGGGTCTCTCACTAAACCTAGAGCACAATGTTTCAGGCTCACAAACCCTGAGGATGTGACACCAGATTTTAAAGTATATGCCACCACATCCAGCTTTTCGGTGGGTGTTGGAGTGACAAGCACTTCCCCACTGAGCCATCCTCTAGCTGCCCCCCACCTTTCATCACCAGGTGGATGCAGTCCCCCATCTACAGCCCATAACCCGCCCTGTGCGCACATGGGGGTGACCCAGTCTTCAGAAGCATCATTTTCATTTCACCTTTTCCACTTACATTGAGCATGTCATATTGTGTCTCCTAAACAGTGCAGCCACAAACAGTACGTGGAGTTATCCGATCTCGAGAAGAAGTGGAAAAACTTGTGTCTGCCAGTAGAAAAGTTCAGAGCCATCCTGGAGCTGGACCCGTGCGATAACAAGATCGAGTGGATAAAGTTTCTAGCGCTGGGCTGCAGCTCCCTGGGTGGCGTATGTACCTATACATAACATCTAATATTATAATTATTATCTCATAATCTGTGTAATTAATTACATGCCTGGCTTAAAAATAATTTGGATTAAAAATACTTTGGGTTTAAGTAGCTACAGAAAACACTTGGATTACTTTATTAACGTTCTCGGAAAAAAAATCAAATTTTTCTGGAAACGATGTTTTTCCAGACTTAGTTATGTGATGAAGACCTCAACTCAAAAGATGTTAAGAATGGAGCAAACACACAGATACTCTTGGAATCTATTATCTAGGTTTTCAAATGGGGTGTACCAATGAGTTCTTTTATTAAACAGTGTAATTTTGAAATCTGGTAACAGATGTCTTCATCGGTGGGAAGAGACATTAAATTCCATTGCATTTGACTTATCGAGTATTGATAAGTAGTAATACAGTGTAACTGTCCTGCCGTTACAATGTAACTCCAGCAGTTTAGGACTAAGACAGCAGGATGGTTGATTGGATGGTTCTCAGCTGAGGGTCACTGGCATTTGTGAGCCTGGGGACTTGGGCATGAGGTGGGTCATCTGGGGCTGGGGTGGAAGGGTGGGCAGAGCTTCCTTGGGAGGCCCCAGTGTGATCAGCATGTGGTGAAGTGAAGGGTGACTTGGTGTTTGGGAAGAAAGGGACTTTGGGAGGGGAAGCAGCCTTCTGCTGGCTGGATAAGCACATTATATTGCTCTTTCAGTCTCTACACGCCTCGTTATATAACTGTACACAATTCATAATCCTTGTTTAATGTCCACTCATCTTTAAAAATGGATCTTTATTTAATTTTTTATTAATTTCTAAATTTGTATGTGTGTGTGGGGGTTGGGGGTTGTAAACATGAATGAATGTCTGTGGAGGCCAGAACAGGGTGCTGGACCCCTTGTTAGCCTCCTGATATGGGTGCTGGGAACTGAGCTCATGTCTTCTGGAGGGGCACTTAACCTGCCATTGCTTCTGTTCCCGTCTTCCCCAGCTTTGCTGCACGTGCAAGTTTCTTATTCAGTTTTACTTTGTAAAAAGTTTCTCTGCATAGAATTGTCAAGCATGAACTTGAAGGGGAACTCGAGTAAAGTAATCTCACAATAGCTCCGAATTGGATATAATAATAAAGGATTCTTTATTTAAAGGGGAACTCACAGATCACAAGGGGGAACAGGAACTGAATCCAACATCTATGTGTGAAAACAGGGTGGGGGGGAGCGCTGCACCTTTTTGATACCCAAGGCCACGCCCAACCTGGTCCAGCCTCTCACAGGCCACTGGCTGAAGGAGGTTCCCAATCAGCTCACCCTTTTGTCTAAATAAGAGAGTTTTAAACCCAATACAAAACTATACACAATAAGAACAGATATCAAGTATAAAAATTAGAATTACAACCAGCATAAACAATATTAAGCAAGAAACATGTTAACTGTTGTAATAATTATTTTATTTTAAGGAGTCTAAGTCTTGTATTAGAAATGACTTGGCTAAATCATGAGAGGAAGGTAACTATGACTATCTAGTCTTTAACCCCATCCAAGACCTAGGAATGGAGATAATATTGCTTGAGTACAATCAGTGTACTTCTTGTAGGCAGGAAGTACAATCAAGTACAGTAGCTTTTAAAATGTACAGTAAATGACTGGAGAGGAGGGACAGAATAATTCATACAATGAGAAACAACAGGATAATTCATGATTTATGACTTATTCTGTCCCACCTCTCCAGCCATGAAAATAAATCCGAGTTGTACACAGTGAGTGACACTAGGTGGCACCATTCTGTAAAGAATGGAGCTTCATCTTCCGCCATGACTGTGTCAAAACCCAAGCCCCTGTTTTCTTCTATACTGCTTAGTTCTTAGGAAATCAGTTTACGGCACCGTACGCTTCCTTCCTGTCCCCTAACCTAGGTTACTTTTTGGCACCGACCTTGTTGTTTGTCTTAATTCTCTTAGGTACCAGATACCATAGAGGTGCTAGAGTGTGGCTTGGGCCGAGGGCTGTTGGGAGCACAGAGCCTTTCCTGTACAGGGGTCTGCTCCACTCTGCCACGCCCCACCCCACACTGTGGAGAGTGAGCTCTGTCTCAGTGTGGGCTGTGCTTGCAGGGAGGTACCCAAGCCCCACATGGTCACTGGCACACTGACAGTACACGGCTGCCCGTGCAGGCCCCACGTGTGCAGCCTGTGTTGCTTCTGTGGCCTGAATGTACACTAAGAACACTTTAGGTCTCAAGAGAGACCACCTCATTGTCTGCAAACACTACCTTCCAAAAGGAGCTTGTGGGCATGCTGGGTGCTATTACTTCTATCCCAGAGCCTGTCAAGAGACAACGGAAGGGAGCAGACAGATGCTAGCTCCTGGCTTGAGATGCTGTTTGTCGTGGTAGGCAAGGCATGTGCTCCAGTGGCAGGCTCTATGGTGGAAGGAAGGCAAATGGTGAGCGTTCGCACATCCTCAGATCAGAAAGCTGAGACTTCGGGCTCAAACTGAGCCCTCTTGGAAGCCCACTTCCTCTAGCTCAGTCCCACCTCCTAAGGGTCCCACAGGCTCCCCATGGCAGCACCAGCTGGGGATCTAGTGCCACACAAGAGTAAGTAGCAGCGGCTTCCTGCCTGCTACTGTGTCCTTTTGGATGCTGCATTAGTGTCATTGAGACCCTTCTAAGTTCTGCGCTTGCTGGGTTCTGCGTAGCCTACCCTCTGCCCCCTTAAGCTTCTCTTAGCCATTATAGTCCAACTAATTAAGGTTCTCTCAAGGAACAGAGACCTGAAGCCTTCTGTGAGAGTGAGGTCGAAAACTGAGCAGCAGGGGCATTGAGACACACAGGGCCATCTGCCCTGGCATGTGCCCTCTGCCCTGCTGGTCATGCCCTCTTCTGGTGAGCACTGGTTCTCAGTGTCCCTTAGCATCGTACAGTGTTTTTCTGGACCCAGTGGGGTTGCAGTGACTAAAGTTTGTGTTTAAATGGCTCTGGACTCCCAACCACATGGATGAGGTTCATGGTTAAAAATGGTGTGTTTATTGTCTTAGGGTTTCTATTGCTACGAGCAAATGCCATGACTAAAAAGCAAGATGGGGAGGAAAGGCTTTATTTAGCCTACACATCCACAGTTGCTGTTCATTATTGATGGAAGTCAGGATAGGAACTGAAACAGGAACCTGGAGACAGGGGCTGCTGCGGAGGTCATGGAGGGGTGCTGCTTACTGGCTTGCTTCCTGTGACTTACTCCGCCTCCTTTCTTACAGAACCCAGGACCAGCAGCCCAGAGTTGACACCACCCACCATGGGCTGGGCCCTCCCCCCATTGACCTCTAATTGAGAAAATGCCTTACCGCTGTATCTCAGGGAGGAATGCCCTCAGCTGAGGCTCCTTCCTCTGATGACTGTGGCTTGTGTCCAGTTGACACACAAAACCGGCCAGTATACTTATCTTGTCTGTGGCAGTCATTTCCATTTTGATATTGTTATTAATAACGTGGGTGACCTGAGGTCTGTCCCAGGAGGGGTGGCAGCAGGTGACCCAAGGCAGGGTGGGTTCCCTTGGCAGGCAGGAGACACACAGATAAAGCCATGCATGGTACCGAGTTTATTTAGTGGGCATTGGGAATGGCATAAGAGTCAGGGGAGGGAGAAGGGGAAGAGAGGTAGGCAGAGGCTGCCACTCCAGAAGAAGGGCAAAGAGAGAGAGCACAGGCTGGAGAGGAGGCAGAAGGCTTTCCTCCCAGGAAGGTGGGGAGGTGGGAGTGTGTGGGGCTTGTCTCTTAAAGGGACAGGGTACCCAGGTGATAGGCCAGGTCAGCAGATTACAACAGGTATAAAGTCCACGAATTCACCGTGTCTGGTCATTTGCATCCTGGTCAAGCCTTCCTTCTTGCTTTATGCTGTGGAAGCTATGTGTCCACCTAGACCTCTTCCTCAAGATGGAGAGCACGCTTGGGTTTCTGTCGCTGGTGTTGTCTTTACATCTCTGTGACCACAAGAGTGACTGTGTCCTATCCTTGTCGCATTTCCTGCCTAGACACTGAACACCGCCATGAAGAATGTCTGCCAGATCCTCACTGCTGACCCAGAGGGTGGGCCTGCTCAGATTCCATTTGATACTTTTGCCTACATCTACCAGTACTTGACCTCTCTGGACCCAGAACTCCCGGCCTCGGAGACGGAGACCTATCTTGCCACTTTAAGAGAGAAGTCGTAAGTACAGTTCTTTGTGGGTTCAGGTGGGCTGAGTTGGAGAGTCCACCTCTTTACTAAGAATGCGCCCCTGGTGGAAGGAAGGCAAAGATGCTCCCCTTGATTCCAACAGTGTTGAAGGGGAGCGACCTCTCAGAGATCATGGGCAGAGCCGCAGCCCCTCAGCCTGTTCTCTCAGTGCCAGGCAGGAATCCAGAAGATTCCATCTTCCTAGACGTTAGATGAAGTGTGTCCTGTCGCAGGAGAAGCTCAGGTCCAGCCTGTGCCGTCAGACAGTCTTAGACGACAGCTCACTGAAAACTGACATTGATGGAATTCACCTCACCCACACATGAACCCACGCATGAGGTTAATATCCACCAGCGGATGCCAAGTCACCCTCCGACTGTTACTGCTGTCACTCATGCAGTTGTTGATCTGAGGGGCTGGCAACCGACACCCGTACACTGTATCTTCAGACTGTTGGCACCTTCCTTAGTGAAGGAAGTCGGGTGCTTTGAACTTTCCACTCAAGGCTGCCTTGGGCTGCTGTCTTCTCTCTGTGGGATGTGGCCCTAGGTGCGTGCACCTGGGACGGCTCCACTCCTGTGCTCTGTGGATGTGGGAGCACTGTCGTCTTGGTCTGGAGGGTTGTGGCTCTATGTGGGAAGCTCGTGGGTTCTTTCCTGCTATGTTGGGCTATCCCTGGGTGTGTAGAGGAGGGGCGGCCTGGCAGGGAAGCCAACTGGCAGAGCTCAGCTTTCTCACTAGGTCCTCATTGGCACCCACCCTGGAAAATCCCAACCGTACTGGTTCAGGGAAGTCTAATGATGGACCTGGCTGCCCAAATGACTGTGTGCCCAGGGCTAAGCCAGGCATAGCTGATTGGGATATCCCAGTTGGCATTCTTTGTGTGCTAAGAATGCACCACTACATAGCATGTGGTGAGCACCCATGCCGAGGTCAGGCTGCCTGGGCTACCCCGCCTCCCCGCCTCCCCACCTCCCTCCTCAACTTGTTAATTAGGCGGCTTCTTTACAAAAGGAGCTCCCATGTCTGCCAACTAGGGAGAATTTCTCTCTCCCACAATCTTCTATCCATAGGTTTGCTGTCTGCTTGGTTCTGACAGCATCTGGTACCCCTTGATAGCCATACCTCTGTGGACAGTGTTGCTGGCCGTGATCCATCTTAGCTGTGGAGGACAGCAAGTCATGTGGGCTCAGCAGCCCTGGCTCCCTCTGGCCCATGTGCAAGAGAGTTGAGCTGGGGTGGACACCGAAGAGTTACTGTGGGAGGCATGGGAAGGTCACAGTGGTCACTGCCTGTCATGAGAACCGCAGTGTGTTCTGAGCAACCTTTGCCCACTTGCTGACATAAGAGTGGCTCCCAGCACTGATGTTTTACCTAGAAAAAGACATCCACTCTTGTACAAGTAAATAGAGCTGTTCTGCTCAGAACTGTTGCTAGTTGGCAGGAGGCTGTGGTGAGGCATCTCAAGTGCCCAGCGCTTGAGATAACCTTGCCAGCTACATGGTACCCTGTTAAATGGCATTTCTAATGGCATCTCCGTCTGTTTTCCAGAGACTCTAGGAAGAATGGCATGATAGGACTTTCGGACTTCTTTGTTGCAAAAAAGACAATATAGGAAGCCTTGCAGAAAAAGCTCTGAAGAATAAACCATTAGTACAGAGAAGAACACATTTAATGCAGTGCCTTTGAAAACCTTGGCGCCAAATACAGCCTGTCATTAACCATGTCTGTGTGATGTGTGACTTTCTCAGTGGAGCTGTAGTGTGGCAGGTGCTCATGGGACCACTTAGTAACTGCTTCTCACTGTCGTGGGAAGGCCTCAGGATGGCAGGGGAGTGCAGGGGAAGAAGTGGAGTGAGAACTTTTAAGTGTCCAGCCCTTCTGGAATGCACAGATGCTTGCTCCCTGATGCCGAGACTCTCCTGGAAGTTGGGCCTTCTGTGACACAGGACTCCTGGGCTCCCCCACGGGACACAGGACGCCTGGGCTCCCCCATGGGACACCTGGACTCTTCCACGGGACACAGGACACTGGATTTTCTCACAGCAGCTAATATAATTAAAACATCCCTCCACAGACATTCCTACAGACCAGCTTGAACTAATCATCCCTCATAGAGACTGTCCAGGTGATGCTTGTTTGTGTCAAGTTGAGAGAACGAGCTAACCATCCATCACAGATGACCTCACAGAGTTAGTCCTCAGAATATCGGGGCGACTGTAACTGTCATTTCCTGCGTTGTTTTGGTCAGAGGGTTGAGGTACATCATAGCACAGGCTGCTCGCAAGCTCTTGCTCCTTTTGGGTTGGCTATCCAGGTGCTGGGACAGCAGGTGTGCTGAGAGATTTGACATAAAATGAAGCTACAATATATGCTTCTCTCCTGCTCCTCCTCCATGCTGAGAAGCAACCAGGAGACCCTTGGCCCAGAACCAGAAACTGAACAAACCTTTTCTCTAGTAAAGGACAGCTTGGGGCATTTTGTTACAGCAGCAGGTGGCAAACCTGGAGTTAGCAATTGAGGAGAAGCTGCATCTCAGCCTGGAGTTACAGAAAAGTGTCTATGGGGGTGGGGGGGCACGATGGAAAGGCTGCGCGCCTGGCTATCTCTTCCTTCAGGTCTCCTCTTCTGCGGTTTCCTGTGGCTGCTGTGGCAAGTGCACACTTCACTGGGTCTTCCCACCTCAGCCTCCATTTCTTCTATTTGTCCTTTTCTCTGCTTCCCTTGCCACGTGGTTAGGACCTATCTGAATGACAGAATGGTCCTGTCACTATTTTAAAGACATTTTTATTACACATGTGTGCATGCATGTGTGGACATCACAGGATAAACAGCATAAGTCAGTTCTCTGTGTCGGTCCTGGAGATGGGACTCAGGTCATCAGGTTTGGTGGCAGGTGCCAATACCCACTGATTCATCTCTCTGAACCTCATCTCTTGATTACCCCTTTTCTAAAGACAACAGTCATGGGCTCTGGAGGTCAGGACATATGCACAGCCCTTTGGGGGATGCTCTTCAATACACCATTCTCCTAACTGTACTTTAACCTTTAGAATAACTGACTTCCTCTTTTCCTCCAGCCCTGAAGCAGCGGGCTGCCTATTGGAGATCCCTTGGACAGCATGCCAATAGGCATGGTGTCTGGATGTATCAGCCCATTCCGTCTTCTCCCTTCCCTTCTAAAATGGGCTCCTATCTGAAGGACTCTGCTTCAGGGAATGTGCTAAAAATATAGCCAGGCAGAGTCAGGTATGATAAGATAGCAAAAGAAATGATTGTATGAAGAGACATGTTTCTAGATCTGGTGTGGGGGGGTACATGACCCACACGGGTCCACATGGATCTGGAGGAAGAGGAAGAGAGGAAAGAGCTGTGATCTGGACCAGTAGTAGTCATTCCTCAGTGACGGGTTCCCGAGAGCGGGGGGAGGGCCAGGGGAAGACGGAGAAGACCAGCAAGTTCTGGGTCAGGAGGTCTTGCATAAGTTGATGGCCCATGCAAGCACATTTATTAAGAAATGCAGCATCTTACAGTTTTCCTGGAAGAAATGGGACAGTGTCAGCAAAAGCTATTATTCAATGGGACACAGTCAGCAAGAAGCCAATCAAACAGTGCTGCACAAAGAAAACACAGGATCCCTCAAGGGTATAGAGACCAAACACACAGCAGCCTTGGGACTGGTAACCATAGGACCTTAGGGTGGGATGCGTTGGGTGCTCAGAGTCCAGAGCTACAGCTCCCCCAGACCCCAGGCCATTACAGGCCTTACCAAGCATATTCCTGGACGTAGACATGGAGCTAAATTCCTTCTCCATGCATCATGGCTTCAGGAAAAGCCCCAGACCGCCCTAGCCCTCAACAGGGTGAGCCACGTCCAGTCTTTAGTGAAGGAGAGGGGCAAGATAGGAATACTAAGACAGCTTAGTGGTGGGGTGTTTGATTTCAGTGGGCACTGGGATTCAAGCATGGTCCCTGGAGCTGAGGTAGTGGAAGGCAGAGAACATGGGCTGATCTCCAAAGAAGAGAGATGGAGTGTGGTCCACGCCTGTGATCACAGCACTCGGAGTCGGAGGCTGGTGGACTGTGAGTTCCAGGCCTGCTGGCCGATATACTGAGACTCGGGTGGGGAGAAGGAGGTATCAGAACATGGGAAAGCAGAGTCCATGCAAGAAGGAGATAATCTTCCTGTGTAATGGATTCCTATGAGCCTGGGGATCCTCCTTGAGGGCCTCCGACCAGGCCTGTGAGATTCTGTAACCTGGCCCATGAGAGGGCTGCTATTCTGGTCATGAGAAGTCAGCAGAGGAGACCTCATTCATTGGCTGTCAGGGCCCAAGGACCAAATAGACACTTCCTGAACAGGGGCACAGGTTGCATAGTGCCCACAGGACCTGCTTGTGAATACAGTCTGATTGGCAGAGTTTGGGATGACGCTTGATTCCATCTTGTCCAGAGCTGACAACGTGGGCAACAGAAACCCACTTTCTCTCCTCACTGAGGCTGCCCATGGGTCCCAGAACCGCTAGCCTGCCGGGCTCAGGTCCACTTGTGGCACAGTATCTCTGGGCTGGGGAGGAAGATTTGGATATCGACTTTGTAGATCTGAGTGTGAATCAGCCAATAGCCTCCAGGATGAAAGTCTGGACAAGGAGGGACTTGCACCTATTTAAAGAAAAACAAAACAAATAAACAACCCAAAACTATGACAGGGCATGGTGGTACATGCATTTTATCCCAGCAGATCTCTGTAAATTTGAGGCTAGCCTGATCTATATATTAAGACACTGTCTCAAAAATAAAGAAGTAAAAGAGAGAGAGAGAGAGGTATTGAGTAATAAGACATATCCATCCACACTAGGACTTGTTGCCATGGTTAAGTCGGCACCTGGTAGTTGTGTGTCCTGAAGGCTTTTGCCTGTGAGGGTGGATTATAGCAATGGTATCCTTAGAGCTGGACGTCACATTCTGGGACCATTTGCTTGGGCAATCATAGGAAAGTACCACAGCCTGGGTGGTACAGACAACAGAAAATTGTTCCTTATTTCCAGAGGCCAGGAAGTCCCTAAAGTTTAGAAGGACTAGTTTTCATGGTGCTGCAACTTTTTCTGGGAAAATTGGAACAAAAATTCTGCTCCCAACCCCCAGTTAGGATGTGAACTGTCAGCAGACTGAAGTATGATTCCACCGAGCTCAACTTGGAGTACCAGTGAGTTTGCTGGGTTACTTTCAGGAGTGTGGGAAACAGAAGCTGCATCCCAGGAGCTCCCTGTCTGACTTCCAGGCAGCTTGGCCAATTGGAATCTCCTATCCCCAGCAATTACTATTACTTTATGTAACCCTGAGAAGGGGCCTTCTGAGTCCTGTAAGTTTCAGGAACTCTGTGCCTTGTAAGTCTCTCTTACTTCCTGGGAGTCTCAGTAGTCTCTCTCATGTTTCGACTCTGCCATCTTGACTTCTCTGTTTCTTCTGCACACTCTGCCCTGCTTTCCTCTTAGCAAGAGTCATGCTGGATCAAGGATCTATCCGATGACTTCTTTTGAATGTCACCACCTTTAGAACCCTTCTGTGCACATGTGGTCACTTTCTAAGGCGTTGGGGGTTAGGACTGTCAGCCCATGAATTTGGAAAGGAACACAAATGAGCCAATATCACATTCCTTTGCTTTTAACTCTTTCGAATTGTTTTGACCTAACAAGTTAGGTCATGAACTGCTAACAAAAAGAAAGACATAATCCTGATGTCTTAGGGTTTCTATTGCTGTGAAGAGACACCATGACATTGGCAGCTCTTATAAAGGAAAAGATTTAGCTGGAGTGGCTTACAGTTTTGGAGGTTTAGTCCATTATTATCATGGTGGGACATGGTTGTTGGAGGCTGCAGACCCCTGGCCCTTGACTTTCTTTGCCTGCCTCAGACCCTTGGCCTGCTGGAGTTAACTGAGCAAAACAACTTGTTTTCTTGTGCCTGCAGCTGCTCTAAGCACGAGACCCTGGTGGCAGGGGAGTGGGTTCTGGTGAGGCCTGCAGCTGAAAGATTCCGAGAGCTGTGGCGTGGCTATCAGTTAAGGATCCCTATATAAGCTTCCCTGGAGCACAATAAAGTTGGCATTCTTATATCAAGGATGACCCGTGTCCCCTTGTCTCTGTCTGTCCATGTGCATGTGTTTTTAAATCTCCAGGCCCTTCCCCGAGGCCAACATAGCTTAGCACATAGCACATGGTGCAGGCCGGGCTCCACACATGGTGTCATGCAGGCAGAGATGGTGCTGGAGAAGGAGCTGAGAGTTCATACAACAGGAAGTGTCCTGAGACAGTGAATATGGCTTGAGCATTGTCTGAGACCTCAAAGCCCACCCCCACAGTAACATACTAACTCTAAGAAGGCCACACCCACTCCAACAAGGCCACACCTCCTATTAGTGTCACTTCCTATGGGCTTATGGGACAATTACGTCCAAACCACCACAACTGGCCTTTGTCTAGCTCTCACCACCTGAACACATGCATCGTCTCAAAATGGTGACCAGCCCTCAAGCTCTGTTTCTGAGAGTAAATGCTCACCAGCCAGGTCCTAGTTAGGTTTCAAGAATGTACTTTGCGGTGGACTCTAGGTCTAAAGAGGATTTGGGGGTGCCTGTCTACTGAATTCCTGTCCTCCTAATGGGGGTCACTGGCTACCCAAGCAAGGGATACAGTGGCAACTCCCCTTTGGGTCATCACACACCAGGGCCACCTCCATGTTCTGTCTCCATCTCCCCCTTAGGAGCCTGTTATCCCCCTCTGGCCCTGGCTGCTCAGCTCAGATCCAGTCCCCAGGTGTCCTGCTAGAGAGGCTGAGCTCCCCCAAAGTTGCAAGATGAGCAGTGGTGTTTAATAACATGTAAAGGAAATCACTTTCTAACCCATTTTGGTCCAGGAGCTTCAAGTACCTTCTTCTAGCACCCAATTCAGGCCCCATGCTTGTCTAAGGCAAAACCAGATGGCTTCCTCACAGTGTACCTGGCTCCCAGTTCCATAATGCACAGCTTCCCCTCATTACAGAGACTGCTCTCCCTTCGAACACCAGCTTCATCTCTCCCGTGACAAGCGGAGGCATCTGTATCCCCTGCAGTCACTTCTTGTTAAACAGCCATAGGAAGCTGGGCCTTCAGTCAGATAAGTAACCAAATTCAGGTCCCAGTAGCTGTACCAAGCAGCTGCCAGCTTCCTGTCACTCCAGCTGCAGGGATGAGAAGTCCTCTTCTGGACTCTGAGGACACCCGCACTGACATGTGCACCCTCACCTCCCTCATATATATATATATATATGTGTGTGTGTGTGTGTGTGTGTGTGTGTGTATGTATGTATGTATATGTATATATGTATACATATATATATAATTTTAATTTTCTAGAATAAGTCAGAGCCTAACCACTGACTCCCCTCTCAGAAGGGATTACAGTAGAGATTCGGAGGCTCTGTGTTAGTGAGTGATCAGTAAGAAGTCAGGAGTCACAAGCCAGATGCAGAAGTAGGACGTGTACAAAAATAACAAGCCATGAGTCACAGGGCAGCAAGTAAAGAATATAAATTGAATAAAAAATGGGTTAATTTAAAATGTAAGAGCTAGTTGGTAATAAGCTTAAGCTATTGGCTGAGCATTATTTATAGTTAATAATAAACTCTGTGTGGTTATTTGGGAAATGGCTGCCAGGACAGAAAAGTTTGCCTAGAAGGGGGCAACATCATGGCCAACAGAGTATTGTTCCATGAGAGGCAAGAGGGAAGTCTGGTTCAATACGGCTCAGTAGCGGATGTTCAAACTTCGAGAGTCTGACATCGGGTAGTTTATTTTAGGCATGTTTAAGCACAGTGCACTGTAGAAAAAACCTTTCCTGGTGACATTAACTCAATCCCATGATAAATAAAGCATAGACATGACTACATAGAAACTCTTTGTAAAGTACACATGACATCGTCCATAAAAATGGGTTTTATAGATTGACAAGCTCATGATAAGGGTTTAGGGGGAAATCTGGTGTGCTCTCTGTCACATAGATAAGTGCAAAGGTCACCAGGCTACCAACTACGTCAGTTCCCAGGCTGGTGTAGAAAATAAAGGCTATACAGCTCTTTCTTTGAAGAGACAGTCCTGTGTGTTTGTCACCCCTGGTTCCCCTGGTGCTTACCCGTGATCACAAGGACCTCTGCGTCTCCTATGCTCTGGCTCATCTGGTGATGTGAACTCTCAGTCTCCCACGCGCTCCTACCTCTACATCCTTGCCAGAGTCAGACCTGTGTCAGGGTCACCATGCCCTTGAACTTCCAAGCCTGTGAGCTAAAGAAACCCCTTTCCTTTATATCTATCCTTTAGATAGTTTACTGTAGCAACAACAACGACAAAAATGGGCAAATACATGTGGCTTTGAAAAAATATCTGGCTAATATCTCCTGGATGCAGTTGGAAAGCCAGAAGTGTCATATGTGTGTGTGTGTGTGTGTGTGCGTGTATGTGTATGTATGTGGGGGGCTGGTTTGCCTGTGCATGCATGTGTGTGCTTGCCCCTGCAGATACATGTAGAGGCCAGAAGTTGATGTCAGGTGTTTTCCTAAATTTCTTCTCCACCTTATTTTCCAGGGTTTCTTCCAAACACCCACAGCTCACTATTTTGGCTAGTCTGGGAACCTAGCTCCTGGGATCTCTGTCTCCACGCCCTTTCCCCTAATGCCGAGGCTACAGGCATGCACATGAGCTTGGGCATGCTCAGCTGTTTTCATGTAGGTGCTGAAGATCCAAACTGAGGTTCTCATGTTTGCACAGTGAACAGTTTACCCACTGAGCTCTCGGCCCAGCCCACTTTTTGTGTTTTTGAGACAGGGTCTTAGCGTAGCCTAAGCTGCACTTTAAGTTCAGGCATCTTCTTGCCTCAGCCTCCTGAGTGCTTGGGTGCTGGACTGCAGGCATGCATACTATAAGTCAGACACAAATTCTCTTAAGGTTTCAGTCTTATGTCTCTGAAGCCTCTCAGTCTGTCTGTCTGTCTGTCTGTCTCTCTGTGAACATCTATTGATATCTATCTATCTATCTATCTATCTATCTATCTATCTATCTATGGAAATACTGAGCATCATTTTTTCCTCTCCTATAGGTATTTATGGTATGTAAAAAAAGGCAGGGTGAAGAAGGGTGACTGGAAATATGTGATCACCTGGTGTGAAGGTGTGGTAGTGTGAATATAACATGCGATCGATCACCTGGTGTGAAGGTGTGGTGGTGTGAATATAACATGCGATCACCTGGTGTGAAGGTGTGGCGGTGTGAATATAACATGTGAACACCTGGTGTGAAAGTGTGGCGGTGTGAATATAACATGTGAACATCTGGTGTGAAGGTGTGGTGGTGTGAATATAACATGTGAACACCTGGTGTGAAGGTGTGGTAGTGTGACTATAATTGACACCAGGAGGGGCACTTTCAGGAGGTGTGGCTTTGTTGGAGTAGGCAGGGCCTTGTCAGAGGAAGTGTGTCACTGTGCAGGTGGGCTTTGAGGTCTCCTATGCTCAAGATAATACCCAGTGACTCAGTTCATTTCCTGCTGCCTTTGGATCAAGATTTAGCCAACGCTACGTCTGCCTGCATGCTGCCACGCAACCTGCCATGATAATAATGGACTAAACTTCTG